CACAGACACAGACACAGACACACACACACACACACACACAGTCACTATCTGGCTTATCTTTAGAAGTGTTAAGCTTTTGAAAGTAAGTTTTTGCTTAATAAACAGTATAAAAATCAGCTTTATTGGTTTTTGAGCATTGATGAAAAAAGTAGCAGTGATATTAAAGTCAAACATTTAATTTTTATGTTTATATTTATTGTTTTATATTTCTATACAGTGTGTGTGTTGATAGATAGATAGATAGATAGATAGATAGATAGTTTATAATGTACATAATTATATATGACTTAAATATATATATACTCAAAATATATATATGACTTACAATTTACATAATTTTTATGTTAGGCTCAAAAACTGTGCCAAAAATGAATCAATCAAAAATATGGAAATGTGCTTCATTGTCATGAAAATAATGCCAAAATGCAAAAAAAAAAAAGTTCCTAAAAATAAGCTTTTTTTTCTTTATGCAAAATATAATTTATTATTTACATATAGATGTGCTCTTCACCCAGCAGAGGACTGTAAAAGAATAACTCTCAAAAAGCATTTTTCAGATTAGAGGTAAACCCGGTGGGTAACATTCCAAGCAATAAAACATGATGCACCTCATTACTAATGACTGTCCATCCGCAGGACGACTCCGTGTCACTGGAGCTGTCGGACATCTCTCAACCAGCTACACGACAAAAATAACCACACAACAGAAGCACACGGGCTGTTATTTACAGAGGGAAACAAAATCACACATTTGACTATGCAAACTGCGTTATTTCAAGTCTCATCAGTGTTGTTGTCCTCTGTAATGACGTCCACCTGAACACTCATTTATGGGATGGAAATGTCAGGCTGACCCTGTCACTGGTAAATGATTATTCTGCGTTTGCAGAAGCCGTGTGAATAGAGGTCTTGATAAACAAGAAGAATTACAGGCACAAATAAAGAAACTTACACATCTGATAGTTATGCTGAAATCTGATGCATTCTGGTGTATCTTCATGCAAAGCCTTTTTAAACCCATAAAGTATTGCATTTTCAAGATGCAAGAGTTCATGAAAAGTCTGTAACAACATGCAGTAAATAATGTCAGACCTTTCGAGGTGAACTATTTCTTTAAAAACCACAGATCTGAGTCAAAACTATCATCTGGTTGTTTCACTGGTTTGTTTTTTCAGGAAGAGCATGCAAAAATAACACACTCTGGTTTGTTAACCATCCAAAAAAGCAGAAGAACAGAGCCATTAAACACATATCATCATCCAAATAAAATCACTGAACACAGAAACACTTCAACACATCTTTCAAACTGACCACAAAGGAGTGCTAGAAGGTCCATGGAAATGTGAAAAAATTAAATGAATAAATAAATAAGATTAAATCTAACCAACTCAATTTGATTAAAATAAGTAAAAAATATATATATATATTTTATATATATATATATATATTTTTTTTTTTAATATATACATTTATATATATAAAATGTGATTAAAATAAACAATCTATTAAACAAATAAAAATATATATAATAAAAATAAATTCGATTTAAATAAATAAATAGCTACAAATTAAATAAAAATGTTAATTAAATACATAAATAATACATCTAACAGTACATTTTAGGATGGGGGTCTCTCAGACAAAGATAATCATATTTAGGAGTCTGTAACAACTAAAAAATTATAAGTTATAAGTTGGATGGGTGATGCAAAAACTGTTTTTTTTTTTATTCTACTAAACATGACTACGGTTTAAACTGCACAAAAATAGATAACTACATAAACACGACAACTGTGAGCGATTACTATTGCAGAATACATCTTGTTTCATCTTATTCTTACTAATAAAATCGAGGCAGGAGACTCCCATAATCTAAAATTAGACGTATAAGGTCCTAAACTCAACATTTGATTCAGTTCGTGAACTGAGCTGTTGCACTTGAGAGATAAACACACAGCGGAATATGAATGAGTCTCTTTAATCCGTCCGTCCTGACTTTAAACTGCATTGAGTGACTTATATGTTGTCCTTACCTGTTTTAGAGGTAAACTGCAGCAGGAGAAAGATGAAGGAAAACGTCCTCTGTGCAAATCCACCATTAAACGTAACGCCTCTCCAACTAAGCCAAAACATCAACATCACACTATACGAACAACAACACGGCGGCGGCTGCCGAGAGGAAGCAGCATGGGAGTTGTAGTTTTATACGTGATCATCCTTTAACATTCTTGAACTCTAAAAACTACATTTCCCTTGATTCCCGCACAGGCGAACGTATACTAAATTAATTTGAAGTGTCTCTGTTTGCGTGGTTGCTGATCGGTTTAATCTATTTAACAGCGATTCCGACGTTTATATTTAATTTCCTAATAAATCTAGTTGATCGTAGGTTGAAATGTTAGTTTTACGCTTTGTTTATGCGCAGGCGCAGTTGACGTAACCGGTCATTGCCATAGAGACGTCCTAACAACACAAGCGTTTGAACGTCCACTCGCTGTAAAATTGGTAAGTTGCATTTCTTATATCTCCACTTTAGAAGATTAAATTGATCTTTTTTCATCGTTATGTAATATTGCAATTGCGCTATAAACAGTATGAATAAATTATAAATAATGCACAAAACATTATAATATAAAATTTTAGTAAAAAATTAAAAAATCTATTTTTGATTAATAAATAAATCCAAATTGGCTCAAATAAATAATGAATAATCAACATTTGATTAAAATAAATGCATTTAAAAATCAATAAAATAATAAATATATTTATTAAAATATTTAATATAAATAAATAAATAAATAAATAAATAAATAAATAAATATATAAATAATACACCTAACAGTATAGTTAATTAGACAATTTATTGAACAAATAAAAAAGTTAAATACTTTACAGTTAAAAAAAATTGAGTTAAATTAATTTCCATATCCAAATAATAAATAAAGAGTTCTGTTAAACGATTAATCGCATCCAAAATAAAAGTTTTTGTTTACATAGGCCTAATATATGTTTGTACTGTGTATATTTGTTATGCATATATATAAATACACACACATTAATGTATGTGTTTAAGAAAAATTTTATGTTTATACATTAAATATATATTATAAATTATATGAATATAAAATACATAAATACATTTTCAAAATATATACTGTATGTGTGTGTATTTATATATACATAATACATATACACAGTACACACACAAATATTATGTAAACCAACATTTTTATTTTGGATGCAATTAATTGCGATTATTCGTTTGACAGCACTAAAATACATTAAAGATCATTTACTAGAGGTTGCATTTCTGTTATCACTGGGAATTGCATGCATTATGTTCTTAAAATCATATTTTTAATAACAGAAAAACTAAGGAAATAAAATTGAATTAAAGCAATGGTCAATAAAAAGTCTGAAGTTCCTAAAATGATTAACTGGCTTTGGTTACTTTAATAATAATGCATCAGTCTACACTTTATCTCCTTTCAGGCTGCAGTCATAATGTCGAATCCGGAGCACCGGGCTCCATGTGCTAATCCTGGAAACCCAGTTTTCTCCTGCATGATCAAACCAGGATCTCACGCGTCGTCTGAAGATCCGGCGCTAAAGCAATGGTCAATAAAAAGTCTGAAGTTCCTAAAATGATTAACTGGCTTTGGTTACTTTAATAATAATGCATCAGTCTACACTTTATCTCCTTTCAGGCTGCAGTCATAATGTCGAATCCGGAGCACCGGGCTCCATGTGCTAATCCTGGAAACCTGGTTTTCTCCTGCATGATCAAACCAGGATCTCACGCGTCATCTGAAGATCCGGCGCTGGCCAGATCTCAGAACCTGATGTATAAGACGACATCCGGCGACTACGGCGCTCGATCACCCACGTTTGAGTCCTCGCCCTGCTCCTATCACCCCATATCCCAGAGCTTCTCACAGCACCTTGCACTGTGTGGGATGTTTCAGGACAATTCCTTTAATACCAGCTTGGACCACCGCTATGTGTATATCCCAAATGACAATACACAGTTTAAGGGACAGTGACCAAACACATTTGCATTTTATATTTGAGTTACGTCTACTGATCACTCACACAAGATAGGTCTTGTTTTGTTGTTACTGCATGTAATTGATCTTTTTAACCTTGATGTATGTCTAGTATTGTGTATGTTTGATGGATACGGCAGCAATAAACATCCACTCATGAAAGCAAGTTCAGTTTTATTAGGAAGAATTCTGTCAAAGTGTACAAACTAGTGCTGACAAACGATTAATCGTGATTAATCGCATCCAAAATAAAAGTTTTTGTTCACATAATATATGTGTGTGTACTGTGTA